CACACTTCTATCTCTACTGCACATACTGTATATTTGTCACAGAAAAGATATCTGAATTGATCTGATGAAACTCACTTCTGCAGATATTAAGATTTAACTTGAGTGGTAAGAACTAAGCAAGCTTAGTACTGAAAATATGCTTCATTTGAGCCGATCATTACCACAAATCTAATATATATAAATGCCAGTATAATGACAATCAATCATTTCAAAACAGGTGTAGAGCCAGTACTTGAAACATCACATATACTTACAATGGAAGTTCTGTTTGCACAACTACAGTGTATAATGGTCTATTATATATTTATTTCTTAGTAGCTACGTGTTTCAGCCATGGAGGCCACCTTCAGGTAATTGGTACATTCATTATTATTTGCTATGATCTGTACAATGGCCAGTATATATATGTTGAGTTATGTTAAAATGTGCTGTCTTGGTTAGTTAAAATGGAGTATGAGCCATAGGCGTTGCATGGGCTTGGATATATGAACTAGTAGAGGGGATGTGTTAGGTGACAGCAATGTAAAGTAGAGGATACAAATTATGTCATACAGTATTTAAAAATTCTATGCAAAGTTGCTGAAAGTCTGAAGGCTGAGTGTTGTACCTGTTATGGATTTGTAGTGTTGAACTACATAAGCTGGACATGCAGACACTGTTTTTAGCTAGTACATGGATGTGATCATTACATATAGTATTGTGACAAGTTGTTTCTCATTGTTATATTTTAGCGTCCTGTTACACTGATTCATGTCCATGGTTTATGCTGACCATCTTACAGTGTACACACTTTTTCACCTTATTCTTCACTTCCACACTACATGTTTCAGCACTAATGTGCCATCTTCAGGTGTCTTTATGCACGTTAAACTATTGTACTGCATGCCACAATGTCTCCATTCTAAAATGACTAAGATCTCTGTTTGTCATATAGGACGATGAATTCCAAATAATAAAACTTTTCAGGATTCTTCCTACGTCGCACTCAAACACGCGAATTACGTCAATCCTCTTTTATGTGAGCATTCCTCCTACATATATTTCTGTATCGTGTTCTGTGTTGTGTTTTGCTCCTGTTACTGCATGTGTTGTACTGCTGGATCTGTGTGTGTGTGTGTGTGTGTGTGTGTGTGCTGTCTTCGTTTTGGTTGTGTTTCTCATGTATATGCATGAATCCTATCCCATATCACAACTCTTTGGTCTTGGTAGTATTGGTATATACCCTATGCACCAAGGGTCTGAAGATGTTTTATATCACACATTTTTACCATTATACTTTACATCGATAATGAAACAACAAAAAACCATCAAGTATAAGTCTTATTGCACATACAGCAAAGAAACTTAAAAGAAGAATTGAAAGGAGAGGATCAGTTTGGATTTAGAAGAGGAAAAGGAACCAGGGATGCAATTGGGATGATGAGAATTATAGCAGAATGAACTTTGGAGATAGATGAAGAACTGTGTGCTTGCTTTATACTCTGGCAGAAGGCATTTGACCGTGTAAATTGGTACAAATTAATGCAGATCCTAAAGGAAACAGGTATCAATTGGCGGGAAAGAAGATTGATTAGTAAACTGTACATGGATCAGAAAGTTAGAGTGTGACGGGGCAGAGGGGAGAGAAGAAGTGTGAAGATTGGAAAAGGAGTTTGACAAGGATGCTTTTATCACCAATTTTGTTCAACTTGTACAGCGAATGCCTTACCAAGGAAGCTCTGGGTGGGCTTGGAGACTTCAAATTATGAGGGAAAATTATTCAAACTGTGAAATAGGCAGATGACCTTGTTTTAATGGCTAAGGAAGAAACTGTGCTNTTCGAAATGTGGTGTTGGAGAAGGATGGAGAAGATCAGTTGGACCGATTATGTGAGAAATGAAGAAGTGTTAATTAGAGTCAGTGAGCAGAGGAATATCCTACACGAAATAAGAAAACGGAGGGCTACTTGGATTGGTCATGTTTTATGCGGAAACTGCCTTCTGAAAGAAGTTATTGAAGGAAAGATAGAGGGGCGGATAGAAGTGACAAGAAGACGAGGAAGAAGACATAAGAAGATGCTGGATGACCTTGGGGACAGAAGAGGATACTGTCATTTGAAGGAGAAAGCTCTATCTAGATCGCATTAAGTGGAGGAATTGTTTTGGAAGAGACTGTGGACCTGTCGTCTGACAGATTACTGATGAATGAATGAATAATATGTAGGTATTAGAAACTTCTTTTCTTGCAGTGAGGTGAGACTGAGTGCACTTGGCATATCGGCCACTGCCTGGCCTATTGTAGCAGCCATGGATGATTATAGATGATGAGTGTGAAGCAGTCAGTGGCATGAGAATTGGCAAGAAAAACTGAAGTACTTGGAGAAAACCTGATCCAGTGTCACTTTGTCCATCACAAATCTTGAATGACCTAATTCTGAGTGGGGGGGGCAGAGGCTTTGGAATGGCTAACAAACATGATTCATGAGAACATCTGCACAAGAAATGTAAAATTGTATTACATGAAACACAACATTTTTTACTCACTGCTTTAAATATGACCATTCATTTTAGACACATCCTGAGCTCACTGAGCTCTTTGATTGCCTTAATCAGAGTAAGTGATTCTATAGTAACAATTTTTTTACCAAGTGAATGGAGAAGTTCATGGAGGTAGGCCTAGGCCAACTGGGGCTGTAGTGCCAAATTATTATTATTGTTATAAGTTAGTTTATAAATTTCAAGCAATTTATTTTTTGTGACCCACGATGTTTCTAAAATGAGTGATTAAATTGATATGTACTGATTCCACTACTGCAACAATCCTTGAGAGAATCATAAGGAATATTCTACTTCAACGTACATAAATTATGTCATACCAAGAGTACTGATGATTTATCTAATGTTATATTTTAGCGTCCTGTTGCACTGATTTATGTCCATGATTTATTCTGACCGTCTTACAGTGCATACATTTATTCACCTTACTCTTCTCTCTTGCACTACATGTTTCAGCACTAAAGTGCCATCTTCAGGTGCTTTTCAATGTACGTTGAACTACTTAATTGCATGCCCTGTTTTCTTTATACTAAATAACTAAAATATATATTCGTCAGATATATTGATAAATTTTAAATATTAAAAATATTAAAACTGTTCAGGATTTGTTATCCTTATGTCGTATCTCAATACGCGAGTCACACCTATCTTCTTCTATCAGAGTATTCTTCCTACTTTCATGTGTGTATCTGTAACGTGAAATTGTTATTCATTAATACCACGTTCTGAATTTTATTTGTTACGTGTGGTATTATAATGTTTAATACTCACTGTGCTTTGTGTTGTGTCTTGCTCCTGCAACTGTGTGTGTTATACTGCTAGGCCTGCTGGGTATGTGTGTGTGCTGTCTTCGTTTTGATTGAGTTATGATGTTGTGGGGGTAGGTGGTGGGGTGTTGTTATGTTGTTCTGTGTAGATACTGTGTAATTCTGGTATATTGGGTTATATATTTCTACATTTATACTGTTCATATGTGTGTTTTTCTTTGTCATTCTGTATATATGATAGTTCTCCAATGTGTTCAAGTATTGCCCCTTCCTACCTGTTGCTATGATATCCATAGTGTTTTCTATAGTACCATATGCATGTCCTGTGTTTAATTTGTGTTCTGAGTATCCTGTACTGCTGTTATTGTGTCTTATGTCATGTATGTGTTCTTTATATCTGGTATCAAATTTCCACCCGGTTTGTCCTATATATTCCTTGGGGAAATCTAGGCATTTCATACTATATATGCTGCTATTGTTATATTTATTTATTCGTGGTCTTGATTTTAATATATGTTGTAAATTGTTCTTAGTTCTAAATGCTATTTTTAATTGTGTGTCTCAAAATAATTTTGTGATATTTCTTGTTTCTTTTCCTATATATGTGAATGTTGCCCATTTTGTTTGTTTTTTGTTCTTCTGAATTCTCTGTAATGTTCTGCTTTTTTGCAATGTTTTGTTTTCTGTTATTTGTAGTTAGTTTTGTAATTATATCTGTGTTGTACTTGTTATTTATGAGAATGTTGTTTATAGTTTCTATCTCATTATCTTTTGCTACTCTGGTGATGGGGTAGTTATTTACTCGATCTATGAGGTATTTAATACCAGATATCTTGTGTTCTTGTGGGTGACATGAGTCACTTGGTATTATTATGTCCGTTGCAGTGTTTTCGGTGGATTGAGAATTGTAACTTTTCCATTTATCTATATATTCCTATATCTAAGAAATTTATAGATCTATGGTTCTCTTTCGCTATTGCGAAATTTATCGTTGGCCGCAGTTTATTAAATTCCACAATCATGTTGTCAATATTTGTTTTGTTTATATCATACAATATTAGTATGTTGTCAACATTATCTGAAACATCCAATTATTTTCTGATTTTTTAATATGTTGTATATTTGTGTGTGCTCCACGTTCTGGATGTATATTTCTGCTAATATTGCAGTTGTTGAAGCTCCCATAGCTAAACCATCTCTTTGTTTGTAATATTTTTGTTCATACTGAAAATAATTTTCGTTTAGTATAGTAGTCAATATGCACATAATTTCTCTGTGTATTTATGTCTGTATTATGATTGTGTTGTAGCATGTTTTTAGTTATGTTCATTATATCTTTCTTAGGTATGTTTGTATACATGTTCTCTATATCAAATGAACATAATCTTATGTTTTCATTCATTATAATGGTGTTTAGGTCATTCATTAATTGTATGGAGTTATGTATATTATATGTGTTTGGCAATTGTAAGTATTCTTGTAGTGTTTTGGATAATAGTATTGCTATTTGGTATGCTGGGGCATTTCTCCAATTGATTATAATCAATTGGAGAAATGCCCCAGCATACCAAATAGCAATACAATAGCAATAGCTGAAACATGTAGTGCAAGAGAGAAGAGTAAGGTGAATACATTTATGCACTGTAAGACGGTCAGAATAAATCATGGAAATGATTTATCTGTTCATTTTGCACCTCACCTTGTTCTGAGGAGAGACTCCTTCAGCGTGTTTCTGTTCAGACATGAGCAGTAAATGGTTCTCCAAATCAGCAACTTGTGAATGTAGCATCTGAATCTGGTTTTCCTTTGCTTGTTGTTCTTGTGCATGAAGCTGAATAAGTTCAGATGTCATCTGTGTAAATTCAGCATTACTACCTTTCCCAGACTCATTCAGAGAAGAAAACTGCACCCATCCCTTTTCAAGCTGCTGAATTCTTAGCAGAGCAGCAGCGAAATCATTCTGCATTTTGAGTACCATCTTCTCTTTCTCTTCATACTGCTGAGTCAAGTTGGCATGCTGGCATTTCATCTCTTCAAGTTTTTTCATCTCCTGATCCAGCACGCCAGTCAGTCGCTGTATTTCATTGTGGTACTGAACACTTTCTTGATGCTTCACTTGCACAGTTGTTATTAACTCTGTCCTCTCTTTATTAAGTCTGGTGAGCTGTTCTGAGACTGCCTCTCTGAATTTTATAAACTCTTCATTTACAGAATGGATGTCATGAAGATGTTGGAAGCTTTCTAATTTTTTATTCAGAGCATCAATTTCTGCATCCTTATCCTTTATTATCGTAGAGAGATTTGCTATAGTCTCCTTGGCCATTTCTATTGCGTCATTGCTTTCAAATTGATATTTTTCCTCACATTCGGGTGAATGTGATTTCTGTTCTGAAATCATTTGCAAAAACAGACTGTTTTCTGTTTTATCATTTTCACATGTCTTCTCACCAAGATCATCCACAATTTTCTGTTGCTCTCTCTGTAAACTTTGTAGCTGTTCTTCCACTGCCTTCAACACTTCGTGACTGTCTAACGTTTCACATTCCTCATGGCCTTCCCTTTCCTCTTTCTGTGTAGAGACTTCAGATTTCAGAAGTTTGGATGCTGAGTCCATTTTCTTGTAATCATCCCGGAGCTGCAATTTTGCCAATACAGCTTCATTAAGTTCTTGTTCAACAGCTGCTAACTTCTGTCTCAACTCTTTCAATTCTAGTTCCAGGGTCTCTTGATTTCGAAGCTTTCCTTCCATAGCCAGCAGCCTCTTACATTCTGCCTCTAATTCACACTTTGATAATGCAACTTCACTCAACTCCTGCTGGAGACTAAAGCTCAACTCTTTTTGCCTGACAAAATCCTTTTCCAGATTCTTGAACTTCTCTTCAATGGTATGCATCATTTGAATTTTTCTTTCTCGTTCAGCGTTATCATGCAATGCATCATTAAGTTGCTGCTCTACACTGTCTGCTCTCTCTTTTGCATCTTTCTCCATATCTTCAAGATCACAAAGTTGGTTTCTCATGTATGAACACTGCTTCTCCAATGACAATTTATCACTAAGTAACTGATTAGAATTCTGCTCAATTCCTTCTGACAACTTTTTCAACTGTTCTACTTCCCTCTCTAGATGTTCCTGATTTTGTACTCTTGTCTCGATCAAATACAGCCTTTTGCATTCCTGTTCCAGTTCATCTCGCACTCGCAGTGCCTCATTTAACTGTCTTTCTGATGCCTTGGCCATTTCCTTCCATCTTTCAACTTCCATACCAGTGGCCTGAAGGCTCCTCTCTTTACATTCCATCTCTGCTCTAGCCAAATAGAGTCTTTCTACTTCTTGTTCTAATTCCAGATTCACTTTTTTCAAGTTCTCCATTTCTATGTCTTTGTTATGAAGATCAGATAAAATTCCTTCATATTCACACTCTGCATTAGACTTGTCACTTACAACATGCATGAGATTTTGTTCTATCAATGATTTTTCTTCTTTCAATTTTGAAATTTCTTTCAATCTTAGATTGAATTCTTCCTGGATATGACCCAATTCCTTCTGCATCAATGATTTAGTATTCAGTACTTCATTTAGCTGAGCTTCTGTATCATTCAATTTACATTTCAAAGCCTCCAGGTCCTCTTTACAATTTTTCAGTTGTTGGTTTAAGTCCTTCGAATGGTGCTCATATTCTGATATCTTCAGTGCTGCCTGTTCAAGCTGTCTTGTTTTACCTCTTAACTGCTCTTCTACATGTCGTGTCTCAGAAAGTTGCTGCTGCAAGCTTGCAACTTCTGTCTGCAAATTTCCCATGGCCTTCAAACCTTCAATCTGCTTCTGCAGTTCTTCTACCTCATCTTTTAATTTAGATCTGTCCATATTGGAGAGCTCCAACTGGTCTTGTGTATAGGTTACTGTATTCATCAAAGCCTCCTTTTGATTCTGCAACTCCTCCTGTTGAAGCAGCCTTTCCTGAAGCTCTGCAATCTCCTCCTGCAACTCTTCTAGTATCTTCTCACTTGAGGACACTTGATCCTTATTCATGGCCTCCAACTTCTGCAGCTCCCCACGTAACCCTTCTACCTCCTCCTCCAGGGAGCATTTTACTGCTAAAGCCTCTTTTAACTGTCCACCTGCACTAGTCGCTGCCTCCTGCCACCTGTTCGATTCTGTCTCCAAATTCTCTTGGTTCCGCAGCATTGCATTTGCTGTCTGCAGTTTCTTGACAAGTGTCTCCACTTCTTCTCTTAGTCCCTTTGCATCAACCTCTAGGTTCAATCTTGCCTCTCTTAGCACTTCTATCTCATTCTCCAACATCATGATTTTCTGCTCCATTGCTTCTGTCTCATTATTTTCAGGGATGGGAGCTAATCCCTCCCCGCCACCATTCTTACTAACCATCAGCTCTTCTATAAGTGTTTCAATATTTCCCTTCAGGATCCTGCACTCAGAGTCAAGTTCATGGGCTGCCTTGTTGCGATCCTCATACATATGTTTTGTGTCTTGCAGTTCCTTCACAAGCTCTGCAACTTTACGTTCAAGTGTGTCTCTTTGCCATTTACATTCTACACACATTCTGACTAGAGCTTCTACCATCCCCATTGGCATAATGTCATCTTTACTATTACTGTTAACACTAAAATAGTCTTTTGGGATTTCAAATGTTATAAGCTTCAAAATTTTCTCCTGAAATTCTATCTCCAAATTCCTTCTGCATTTTGCATATACTTCATCACTGTTCTCAATGTCATTGCATGGTTCTGTCTGCACTTCTCTGCACATGCAAGCAGGACTGAAACAGTCTGTTCCAGCATCAATCTTTTCAAAGCTCTCACTTCGTAATGTATATCTGTACTTCTCAAAACCAGATATTTGCTTCATGGTTTCTAATTCAGACTGCAATGTTTTATTCTGCTTCAAAAGTGACTGCTTTACTTTGAGCAACTGATCTGGAAAATATAAGCACAAAGAGCAAGGGGTCACAATACATGGGAATAAAATTACAATGATTTTGGACATATGCCTGCCTCCTAGAAGGATAAATATGCACCCTAAATATAATCACATTTCATCTTTCATTTCTGGCCACTCTCATCATCATCATCACCTGGATAAGCGAGCATTTCTAATATGCCAAAACTTCATAAATTTACCTCTCATTCTTTTCCTGTGAGCAAATCAATGATTTTCATGGCAATGCACTGGATTCCAGAAAATGGAGGTATATGAAAATCATTTTCGTACATGGATATTCATAAAAGGGAGCAGATACCTACCTGGATAAAACTATATTAAATGTAACACAACAGAATGTAAATATTTAATAATATATGTACATTTCTCACAATTACTGGGTTTTTGGACTCTGTCCCTCGTCTGGTATTCTAAAAACCAGAGAACACAATGTCTTGGAAAATGGATCTCTTTCTGCTCTCAAGTGAGAAAGTGCTAACCTCAATTACTGGCCCAGATCCACTTTCTAAACGACTGGGTTCTGTAGTTTTTAGAACACAGATGATGGACAAAGTCCAAAAACCAGTAATTCTGTGTGCTATATGCTGTCATCAGGACTATTTAGAATCCACTTACACATATTTCATTCAGATAAAGTACAATTAATTTGTAACTGTAAGCCAAAGCTTTTACATACAAAGCTGAAGTCAAATTATCCTTTTAAAATATCCCTGAGATTTATTACTCTAGAGCAGGCATGTCCAACACATCAATTGCTGCACGGTTTTTGGTCTATCTCATAGGCCTATAAGGAAATTATATGAGAAAAGCATGTGAATTTTGAAGGGAAAATACGTATTAGTCATTCCTATATATTTCTGTTCTTATGTAGCTTATATGAAAATTGCTTTATACTTGTGTTAAGTGAACTGTGGGGAAGTCTTTGCTCTACCCTTATCACGTGAACTCTTATTTCATCACTCGTCATCAGCCATGTGTTCTGATGCAAGAGTGATCGACAGAACATGTGATTCACTTTGTTCCTGCCCTCCAGTCAACTGTGAATCCTTGTACGTTGAAATAACAAGTGAGACGTATTATTATATTAGCTGTTAGTGGAGATTTGTCGCTTTGCTGTGCATTAAACAAATCTTAAAGAGTTTGGGGATGAGCTCAGTGTAATCAAAGGGACAGCAAGTGCTCTGCCCATGTTATTTTATTAATTTCGAAAGCGTCTGTGTGCGTGTGTCCGATAAAACAGTTTAATCAATAAAGTGGAAAATGCAACGCCTCAGTATCCTTCCCCAAAAAAGGTAATCTGGAATGTCATTATAATGCTCTCCACGGCAATAAGTATTATGCTGATTTTCCACCCAGAAGTGAAATTCGTAAACTTAAGCTCAAAGAACTTAGAGTTAATTTTACCGACCACACAACACATTTTTATTTACTGTCACACTACATGTTTCGACCTCAAGAGGTCATCCTCAGGTGTATGAACACAATTGCACAATCACACGCAATCACCTGAGGATGACCTCTTGAGGTCGAAACATGTAGTGTGATAGTAAATAAAAACGTGTTGTGTGGTTGGTAAAATTAACTCTAATATTCATTTAATACACAACAGGATGCAAGGAACAATTAAATTCAAAGAACTTAAATCAAAATTAGCTGCTCAACAACAGTTGATGGCAAAACCAAGGTCACTTTCTAACAATGCAACCAAATCATTCTTCAAGGTCAGCAATCTGATCATTAGAAAATGCAAACCTTTCACTGAAGGGGAATTTGTAAAAGAGCGTTTTCTTGAAATAGGTGATAATCTTTTGAAGGATTTAAAAATAAGAGAGAGATCACAGCTACTATTCAAGATCTTCAATTATCAAGAAACGCCACTGTTCTGCGAATAGAAATTGTGTGTGGAAACATAACTGAACAGTTGTTGACAGATGTTTTCAATTATGTTGCTGTCTCCCTCCAACTGGATGAATCTACAGACATCAGAGACACAGCCCAGTTACTAGTTGCTTTTACAACAAACATCATATGTCATGTTATTTTTACCAATATTTTTGCTTAAAGCAAGATACGACGATAGGAGGGGCTGGTAGATCACTGGCAGTTTTTGACACTAAAAAGTCGATCACAACCTGTTTGAAGTTGGACATGCCTGGTCTAGACCAACACCAGATGGAGTCTTGATGTCAATCAAACAAACAGTACCACTATAGCATCTAAACCAGTTCAATCAAAATGTTCAGCCTCGGTAGCTGGCCATTTGTGGGTTTAAGGACATTTTAGAAATCACAATGCACAATAAGTTAACCAGTAGTCCTTACTGATATGAATAATTTGCAATAAAACATAGAAGTCTGAAGGTTATATTCATGACAAAGGAAAGTAATTCCTGTGCTTCGTATACGTAACAATTGTATTCTATAAATAAACACAATACAGTTTCACAACAATGAAAAGAACAATTATTATTCTTCTTTCTTATAGTCAAATGAGTGTTAAAGGATAAATTCGTAGGTACATGACATTCTTCTGCCAGGCAACTTTTTTCTTAATTTCAAACAGTTCTTAAGAAGGCAGTCAATGTTAGAAACTTGCAATACATTGTGCATTAATCACACATACATGCCCCTTTAGATGATATTTCTTTGTACCATAGAAGAAAAAACAGAAAAATGTTCCAACGAACACATCTCCCCTAAACAACGTTATCAATTTTTATTTTACTACAAGAATATCACATTCACTTTTAAAAGCCATAAACAAAACTTCAGAATCTTAACGATTATAAATATTAATATTCAAATTACTTTCTGTAAAAATTCTAAGGATAACATACATTTTCAAATACATATTATACAAGTGTAGCAATTATGCTATTCATAGTAAGACAAAGACAAAGCGTGCAGGAGACCCTAGAAGAGAAACTCGGTGCAATTGAAGGTGAAAGCGGAAATGCTGAAGTGCAGTGGAACAATATAAAAGAAAGCATGTTAGATACTATCGGTGATTTGGTTGGTAAAGTTGAGAAGATAGCAAGAAAACCATGGGTTACACAGGAGATGATGAGTAAAATGGAGGAGTGAAGGAAATGGAAGAATGTCAACAATGAAGAAGGCAGGAGGAAATACAGGAGACTTAGGAATGAATCGAAAAGAGCCACAGACAGGGCCAAAAAGGAATATCTTGAGAAGATATGTAATGAGATTATAGAATTTCAAAGAACAGGACTTTATGATTTGATGTACATGAAGACAAAAGAACTAGGATGGAAAGAGAATCATGGGATTCAAAATATTGGCATCGAAGACTCCCAGGGGAATAGAAGAGTAGATCAGAGGCAAGTGCTGAAAATTTGGGAAAATTATATTTCAGAACTATATGATCGACCTAATCGGCCAGAAACCTTAGAAGTTGAACCGGAAGAAGAAGTAGATACAGACGGGAAAGGACCGTATATTTTACAAAGTGAGGTGGAAAAAGCTATCAAGGAAATGAGGAAGGGAAAGGCTACAGGAGATGATGATGTACCTGGAGATGTGCTCAAGTTACTGGGAGAAGGTGGTTTGAAAACACTGACAAAACTAATGAACACCATATATGAAAGTGGAGAGTGGCCCAAGGACTTTACAGAAGTTACAATGATTGCCTTAAAGAAAAAGACAAAAGCTACAAAATGCAGCGACCATCGCACAATAAGTCTTATTGCACATACAGCAAAGATAATAGCAAAGATACTTAAAAGAAGAATTGAAAGGAAAATAGAGGATGTACTTGGAGAAGATCAGTTTGGATTTAGAAGAGGAAAAGGAACCAGGGATGCAATTGGGATGATGAGAATTATAGCGGAACGAACTTTGGAGATAGATGAAGAACTGTGTGTTTGCTTCATAGACTGGCAGAAGGCATTTGACCGGGTAAACTGGACCAAATTAATGCAGATCCTGAAAGAAACAGGTATCGATTGGCATGAAAGAAGATTGATTAGCAAATTGTACATGGATCAGAAAGTTAGAGTACGACTGGACAGGGGGGAGACAGGAAGTGTGCAGATTGGAAGAGGAGTTCGACAAGGATGCTGTTTATCACCAATTCTGTTCAACTTGTACAGCGAATGCCTTACCAAGGAAGCTCTGGATGGGCTCGGTGACTTCAAAGTAGGAGGGCAAATTATTCAAACTGTGAAATATGCAGATGACCTTGTGTTAATGGCTAAGGAAGAAACTGTGCTACAGGGCATGATTGATAGACTAATTGAAATTGGAAGGTGCTATGGCATGGAAATGAATGTGGAGAAAACAAAAGTAATGAAAATTTCGAGACAACCAACCCCAGTCACAATAAAGATAGACCAAAAACAACTGGAGAATGTGAAATGTTTTAAATATTTGGGTAGCTTGTTAACAGATGATGCAAGGTGTACTAGTGAATTTAAATCCAGGATTGCCATGGCAAAAGCTGCATTTAGCAAGAAGAAAAAATTTTTTTACCAGCAAATTGGACTTAAATTTGAGGAAGAAGCTAGTGAAATGCTACATTTGGAGCATAGCTCTGTATGGGGCTGAAACATGGACACTTAGGGCAGTAGATCAGAAACATCTGGAAAGTTTCAAAATGTGGTGTTGGAGAAGGATGGAGAAGATCAGTTGGACCGATTATGTGAGAAATGAAGAAGTGTTAATTAGAGGATACTGTCATCTGAAGGAGAAAGCTCTAGATCACTTTCTAGATGATGTTGAGAAGTATAAGGGTCCCACATCAGGAGGTAACTTTAGAGTACAAGACTACAAACCAATTGCCCCCTGATGCTGCTCATCTAGTACTTCCAGGCTCTTGGTCAACCCTGTGTTCTCTTCTTGAGCTCTTGCAAGCTGAGATTCCAAATCCTGAATTACCTTGGCCATGGCCTCCACTTCAGATGACAGACAAATCTATAAAGTATAGGAAAACACATTTTTATCTTCAAGAAACCAACATGCATGAGCTATCACCAAAATCTCTCTGCATTATATTCAGTCCACTGCAAAAGAGAAATCCAACCCTAAAACCTCTCCACACACAGCCCTTTTTGCCTTCACTACTCCACAAGATGCATGATTTGGCTAGCTTCAAGTTACTAACACATGTCAGCACATGTCCAGGCTAATACTAAGAAAGCACCAAGGGCCATGCCATAGCTCAAGCGGTAGTTGGTGGCTTCCCACCGCGGCTGCCCAGGTTTGATAAAGTGGGATTTGTGGCGAACAAAGTGGCGCTGGGGCGGGTTTTCTCAGAGTACTTCGGTTTCTCCTACCAATCTTCATTCCACCAATTGCTCCACAATCACAATCTGGGGCTGGTACAATAGGCCAGAAGTGGCCATAGTACAAGGGACTTAGTCCCACCCCACTAGGGAAAAGAAAGAAAAAGAGAGAGAGAGAGAGAGAGAGAGAAGAAAAAAAAAGAAGAAATAAAGAAAGACAGCACCAGAAACAATCAGTATATTGATACCACAGAATAACTTCACAAACTGTAAAATTTCTATTTATTCCCAAAATTATAATTACAATGATAGTTTCTTGATGTGGCACTTCCGTTATATAAACGAAAACTTCTCTTAAATATTTCATGATTCAGAATGAATTCTGACAACTTTTACCAAGGTACAGATGTGAATGCATGTGATCCCATGTGAAGTTGAAAAAGAGATTCTAAGAAAGTCCAAACATTCTAAAAAATGTACGATTCTTGCAGTCATTTCTAAGAATTCTTTAAGGATATAACTCATGATCAGTCACTCATCCAGAGTGTCCTTCCTAACGTGGATTCTCGAAAATTGAGACGAGATTCTTTGGGAGCTTGGTGTAGGCAGTCACACCTCCCACAGAATGTACTGTATATGGAGATAGGCACCCATCATCTGGGTAGAAAGAATGAGTAGCTTACAGATTTGGAGCACGACCAGTTAAGCAATGATGGGATAAACACTAGTGGTGGAGAGAAGAGTGACTTCTGGTGCAATGCCCAGGAGCTGGTAATACTAATAAAATACGGGATGTAAATCAGCAGCCAAAAATTAGTGTTGACAGTTAAACTGAAACTTAACCCTTTGCCATGTCACTGACATTCTCTGTATACTGATGGTACTGGACCAACTAAATGGCTTTTACACACAGCTTTATTATATTATGCACAGGAGGGACCATTTAATTTTACTCTGTTCTACAGTATCGGATGCCAAAAAGGTTAAAATGTCTACTCAGGGAACTCCTAATATATTTTATCTTTCCTAGTTTATTACATAATGATATTAGATGAAACCATGTATGCGCATCCACTTGTGATAACCCCCCTTCTCATCAGAAGTTCTAATGATTTACTAGTGTTAACATCTTTCCTTTATTATATTCTGTCACCAAAATAGAAAGTATGGATACACCACACATTTGTCATTTCTTACACGTTTCAGCTCATTTTACATCTGCTAATATTCCTACACTGTCCAGTGTTTACATACTGGAATACTGGACTTTTAAGTGATACGTAATGCTGTTATACATAAAAAGATGTGTTCGCCTCTAAGATTAAATATTGTTAAAATGTTAAATCATTAAAATTAAATGTATATATAAAAGGTTTTCTTACTGTCATGTGTAAGGGGTTAGTGTGATGAATAATAATGAATTCTAGATTTGATGGTTGGGTTTACTGGCACTTCTTTACGATTACAGTTGATTTTAACAGTTTACACACTGAACTCCTTCTGAATAACATCTGTCTGATGAATATCTCACGGCTGTCTGAATCGTGAACTGGTCTCTACTCTCTTTGAATTCATGAATCCACTGTCCTGGATGAGTGCCATGCAGCCAGGATAGAAGTCACCATGTTGGACAGTTCCTCTGTTGTCATGGGAATGCCTCTGTTAATATTCATTGCCACGGGAACAGGAACCAGAAACCGTTGCCTAGCAAATGGTCATATTCCATCACATTATGTTTCTACAGAAGTAGTAGTTGTATGCAGATGTTTCTCTTCTACTGATGCATATTTTGGGGGCCCTTCCTGGTCTTGTATTGATGTAGCATGTCTTTTGATGCCTTGTAGGTATTCGATTGCACTTTCTCCTTGTTTGGGTTCCTTGTATGTGGTGGATTCAAGTTCATCAGTTGTCTTCACATTTCTCACAGAAGATACACAACTGGTGTTTCCATATCTACCTCAATCCAAGCCGCCAGGACATCTTTAATTACTAATGAGTGTATCACACATAGCCTTCATCTCTTTTGGAAATGGACTAACTTTGTCTTGTCTTCCATGATGTCATCTCTTCCAATACATTTTTTCCAGCAGTCAGTACTTGTTCTAACTTTCTACAAGGCTAAACCAACACCGCATGCAACATTCTTTAGCATTAATATCCTTAGATATTACATATTTGAAATTCGGAGCTTACACACAAGATCTACACAGCACCACATCTCAGAAAATAGCATTCTTCAAATTATTCCAAAGGATGGAAAAACCAGAAAAATACAGCCTATACCTAGGAAACTATGGATTTTACCCTCTGTACCTGTGAATTAGAGCAAGGAATGCTGTCATACAGTCTGATGCTTAAAAAAATTCCAAATATCTGTACAACCTGCAACATATGTAACTGTACCAAGGGGCATGATAAAAGCCAAGGTATACCTGAGCAGTGGTATAACGAGGGCCCAATGTAATTACTTTCAATGCATATACACTGAAAATAACAACCTGACATTGCTTTCTTCTAAGCATTTGTCTGCTTGTACACTATACAAAAACAGCATTAACTATTTTTTAGCAATATACACTGTAATATCACCATGAAAAATACAACTGATGTGATATATATATATATAGAGAGAGAAAGCAATTAGAAAGAAACAAACTATAAATGTCAACTTCATATTGAAAGCACGAGACCAAGTACAGAAGACAGTGCAAACAAAGGGAGATGTAACATTCAGCAAACATGGAAATAATAACCAAAAAATTGGTAACGCTTCCCAAATACATAAACTATAAACTTCTTTCATTATCAGCTTACAGTTCACTGGTTGTGGACCAGAGGTATATGTACTCTTAGTCAGGAAGCAACACCTCAATGTCACACCCAGGTCAAAAAGGCCTGAAGAAGTATTCTGACTTTACTTTGTGCAAGAAATAAATTAATTTAAAATGAAAGAAGACTGCACTAAGTGCCACTTTATGACGCAAAATAACAAAGTATAGTACAAAAATTAGGTGGCCACTGAAGAGGGGTATGTCAAGTTTCAATATGAGAATGAGGAGTATGTTGATGGAAAAAGATTCTGAAATACTCTTATAAATGATACAAAATACATAACAGCTCACTGGTAAAACAAAAATATAAAACTTCACTTTCTATGGGTAGTCATAAATTCTTGTAGGACCAGCACATACTATTCTGAAAGCCAGATGCACAACAGCCAGGTGTACCTTTCCTTGCTGAAGCTGTTCTTTCTCTTCCTGAATCTGAGTCAACTGAACACTCAGCTCCTCCAGCCTCTTCTGCAGCATCACATGTTCTTCTGATTTGACAACGTGAACAAGTGACTGCTTCTTTACCTCCATCAATCCCTGAGAAGCAGAAGAAGACACTTTAGTTCTAAACACTTAGAAAAATAAGATCATGCCTATATCACCACTGTGCATTCATACCAGAACTGTTGTAGGACTGGTCAATACTTCATAACGTTTTTGGGATTCCATCAGAGCATATTCTTTTCTATATCCTTTTTACTGCTGCATCAAATGAGTGACTGGTCAAACTCATTATTATGTTATTATATCTTGGCTCTGCTGAACATAGGAACAGCTGTAATGTGCCTAATTAAATTCTTAAAAATTCTTTATTAAATATTCATAGCATTTTCACTTTAACTTCATACTAAAACTTGAACCAAACACACATAAAGACATACAAAATGTTAAACACTTTCCATCTTTTTGTAACTAATTTTTCATAAATATCAAAATATTTACATCTTCAGTATCTGGTTAACTCTATTGGCTACTCAACAAGTCCAGTCTTGCAGGACTTCATACAAATATCTGGTGCAAGGTATTACCTTAAATGTCAATTAACTAAGATCATGTAAAACAAATATATCTTATACTTTTATGTCTGCAACTTACGAAGACCTATTCTGATACTGTGTAATACAATAATATTAAGGCCAAAATGCTGCCAGTGAATATCATTAAGCTGCCACAGATACTGGGCAAGTATCCCCGGAACCTTTCTCATAGCTTACTTTTCATGAAGTTCTGCATCAAAGCTGAAAAGGATAGACCATAATTTCCGAAAGAGAAATTAGGAAAAAGGAAGAAACCAACCTTCTGTGCAGTGACAAGATTTAACTTCTCTTCTTTTTCTCTCAACTGCTCTTTCAAACCAGACAAATGCTGTTCCAGCATCTTCTTTTCCACAGTCCAGTCAGACTTCATCTGCAAAGATGAAATTTGTTACTCAAAATATAATTTTGTATTTTTTACATATGATCCTCGATATTATCAACTATTGTGAAGAAGTTACAAGTGCTAGCAGAAATATTTCAGTCCTACACAAATTCAGAAAACTCAATGTCTGCTGAGGTCTGGAAGGCTCCAGGTTTATCTCCCCAGCAAAATTAATCTTTTATCAACTGATTTAACTCTTTACTTTGTATAACTTCAGTTATGGGACTAATGAGTTCATGTAAGTGTAAAACAATGACAGATATAAGCACAATATATGAAGTAGATATCATTACAGAGAATGAGTAAGAAGAGATAAAGTCTGAAACTGGCACACTGCATAAAATATGATGCTAAAGATGCTACAAAAAGTTGCTCAAATTAAGATGCAGTGGTACAGGATGTGTTACAAGCAGACTGTGACAGGATTCATTTCATTATTTCAAAAATGGAACTGATGAATGAGCAGTAATGTGGGCAACAAAGGGAAAGGTGGAAACTGAAGGTGAGGTAAGATAAACAAATGGAAATGTGGACACAGATACACAAAGAATTATTATGGAAGGATGGAGACGAACAGCAAAGGTTTTATTACAGGATGACAGCCCAGCAGAAATGTTGTAAAAATTTCTATCATTAAGGCTGATGTTTATTTTTATTTATTCATTTTATGAACTATTTAATGATGATGTCAGTAGCTCAGACCGCATACAGTGAAATCTGAATTTGAAAGCATATTATAGTACATTAAGCCAGCTTCTTCCTTCTCACATTTTCTGTTTTCACCATTCTAAAATTCATCACCTTCACTGTACTATTTCTTTGCGGGGAATTAGTTTCTGATTCACAGCTTCGGTGGTTCTTTGCTGAAATCATCATAGCTCATGTCTCCTAAGCCTTGAAACATCACTTTCTCATTTGTCATAGTAATAGTACAATATGGTATGAATATTACCATTTACTCACTTAGAAATATCAACCCAGTTAAAGCCAAAAGTGTTTAGAAACAAAAAATTCAATTTTCACACTAAAATGAACACAAAGAATAAGCGAAAAAAATCTAGCTTTCCATGTCAGTAAATAGGATACCAACCAAGTTAGATTGATTTTCATTCACTATGTGGGCAGAATTAAGACACAAGAAACACTATATCAAGGAAAATACTACAGTATTTAAATGTGAACACAGAATATGAGGGTTTCTCTCAGTTTAGGGACCCTTAAATCGGGATTCTACTATAGCATCAAATGATGAGCCAACTAGTGAATAATAAAGTGGAAAGGATATGTAAGACAGAATTTGTGGCCTGATTTGGAGCACTATTCCACTAACCGGAGGAAACGAGGAAAGAAAATTATAAACTCAGCCCAGACAGCTGCCTTCCAGGCTGACAATATAATATTTAAGCATCCTGTTACACTCTACACAATATATGACATAAACGCCATCCTAAGTGCAACAATTTATTGTAGTTCTTTTGTCTTGCTTTCTTCTACACTACATGTTTCGGCCGCAAACGGCCATCATCAGGTGTATACTCTTACATAGCTGCTACACTGCATGTAGTTTAAAATTTAAAAACACTAGTCTTCTCAATTGTTCAATTTGCCGTTGCTAACAGGTTTCGATATATCAGAATCTTCCCCGCTGATATCTGTCAGATATGTACAAAATCTTTGTTAACCTCCACACCTCAATTTGATTTTCATAAACTGGCACTTTTAAAATCTTCAATACCAATTAAAAACATTTTTTTTCTTTGAATTTTAAAATTTAAAATTCACAGGGTTACCCGCCCTATGTCTATACATGTATTAAAGATAAGCAGCGGCACGCACACAGGGAGCCTACACAGAATAATACCTGAACAGTGCTGAAAAGAAGAAGTAGCCGCTGCAGCACTGTAGATATAGGATAGGTAACCCTAAGAATTTTAAAATTTAAAATTTGAAGAAAAAAATTTTTAAAGAAATTTTTAAAATTGGAATTGAAGATTTTAAAAGTGCCAGTTTATGAAAATCCAATTGACGTGCGTGGGTTAACAAAGATTTTGTACATATTAGACAGATATCAGAGGGGAAGATTCTGATATATCAAAACCTGTTAGCAACGACGAAATGAACGATTGAGAAGCCTAGTGTTTTTTACATTTTAAACTATGTGCAGTGTAGCAGCTACATGAGAGTATACACCTGATGATGGCCGTTTGCGGCTGAAACATGTAGCGTAGAAGAAAGCAAGATGAAAGAACTACAATAAATTGTTGCACTTAGGACGGAGTTTGTGTCATATATTCCAGGCTGACATTTGAACATGGAACCTTTCAAATATGAAGCAGGAGCCTAACCTACTTGACTGTGATATTCGTTGTTGTTAAACAATGCTGCACCACTTTCAAGCCTAACCTACTTGACCACTTTCAAAGTAATTATAACCATTAATATTGTTCTAATCAACATGAAATGGATGATCAAAACAGCTTCCCTCATCCTTTCAGGTGTTTTATTCTCCAAGAAAATAAAGAACTTACCATTTCAAAGCATTCAATGTCTCTCTCATAGGTTTCAACTTTCATTTGCAGCTGTGATATCTGAGAATTTAATTTCTGCTTCAGGAGGCAAAGTTCTGATATTTCTGATTTTAAGGATTCTGTCTCACAGTCATCCTGAAAACATATGACAGTATAAAACAGAAGGTGGGACCTTTAAATAAAAGTGTTATTCAAAAGAAAACTCTGCACATCAGAGTGCATAAAAAAAAAGGGAGGGAAGAGCACTTACACAGGCAGCTGTCAAAACATACAATAACTATCACTGCCAGTACTTTGCTCAAATGAGTGCTTATATGTGCAACACAAGATATATTTTTCTTGCTTAAAAATATACTCACATCTGTCTTCTTGCTACTGGAATCTGAGTATTTTAAGTTAAGGTCCATACTGTCTCCACCAATTGATTTCTTTCCATCATCTCCACAATGAAAATCAACCCTACTGCTGAAGTCACAACTGTTTCCTGAAACAATGCAAAATGGAGTTTCTCAATCCATGTCACTTAATGAAATTACAAGAATCATCTGTAACTTTCAATCAAGGCAAAAATGCTATTTTTCTAATATAGCTGAACAAACAGTCAGATTCAACTACACCCATAAATAACGTGGCATGCAGAAACCACCGCCAGGCAACGATAGTGAAACAAACAACTAGACATTGACTGTTACTAGGCAACAGTCCATAAACAGCAACAGAGGAATGGTGTTTTCGGTGCGGTCTGGGCAGAGATGCTATAAGCAGGACAGTTAGCGATGAGTTGACTTTTGGTTGATGAGTACATGAATTATACAACTGCTGGGGTTCAGCTGTTGGGTTGCTGCTGTGAGAAGCTGGTAGCTGAGGCTGGGGACTGTTCGGGAACCCAGAGGAAGGGGAACGTCCACTGTTGAAGGCTGCTACCATGCAACAACTAGGGAAGACTGAGAAGACTTTGTGCTGCAGTTTGTAACTCAGCATGACTGTCATACTCATTCGTAGCTAACTCACTCATTCATGGAGCTGAGCCCTTCTTGAGAAGCCGCCATTTGTGCAGCTACTCAAGAACTTCCCAGTATTTTATGGAACCTGACGGTTCATTACCATAATCAAAAGAGCCCACCACTGGTCCCTATCCTGAGCCAGATCAATCCATACCATCCCATCCTATCTCTCTAAGATTCATTTTAATATTGTCCACCCACCTATGCCTTGGTCTTCCCAGTGGTCTCTTTCCACCTGGCTTTTCCACCAACATCCTACATGAATTCCTCTTCTCCCCCATTCATGCTACATGCCCTGCTCATCTCATCCACCTTGACCTGATCATTGCAATTATACCTGGAGGAGAGTACAAGTTATGAAGCTCCTCGTCATGCAGTTTTCTCCAACCTTCTGTCACTCCATCTCTTTTTGGTCCAAATATTCTCAATACCCTGTTCTCACACACTCAGTTTATCTTCCTTCCTCAATGTTAGAGACAAAGTTTCACACACATACAAAACCACAGGCAAAATTATAGCTTTGTACATTCTAATTTTTATGTTTTTAGACAGCAGACGAGAGGACAAAATGCTCTAAACTGAATGGTAGCAAGCATTAACCCAAGTTCAATCTCCCCTTCAGTTCCTCCTGACTCATGTTTTGATTTGTTATTGTCGTTCCCAAAAATCTGAACTGTGCCACATTTTCAAAACATGTTACCTATCTATACCCATGATTTGGCCCTGCATTTTGGCGAAGACAACAACATATACCTAGTTTTCTCTGTGTTTACTTCTAGACCAACCTCCTTACTGGTATCAATTAAAGTTTGTGTGTTTCTCTTTGTAGTATTGTCGCATGCCGGGAATCTGGAAGGCATATTCCCATGGAAATGCATTAACAGTGCCTAGGAATTCCTTACGCAATAAATGTGTTTCCCCGGAGATGAAAGGACAACAGAGGGTTCATCGCATGACAGCAGCTGAGACCAAAGGCTCCTACATGGTGCATTTTATTCTGTCCAAGAACAGGTTATAGCAGTCCAGCTTGAAGGGACCAAGCAGTTAGATGAGTTCTGGAAGTTGCCATGAACAGTTCAGTTTGGCTTCAACTATAGCAGAAGCAGTAATTAGAACAGTGTTGCAAGAAACATCTGACGACATTATAAGTGAATAATTGACCTTGTAGGTGTAGAGGAGATCGGCCAATAAACTTATTCCCTAATTCCGAGACCTGTGTGAATTTATTTGTGGCGTTACATAGGCAACACATGACAACTGGTGTTACAGAAGTGGGATTGGCCTTAAACACGCAAACAACACACGAAAAAGAAAAAAATTAGTGGACCAAGAGCGCAAGTGCTACATCCGCCACTACAAAAAAAAATGGATTCACAGCAGATGATGGAACTCCTGCTGAAAGAGATGAGAGCCAGCCAAGAGCAGATGATGCAACAGCTTCTGGCCAACCAAGCAAAGGTAGACAAAACAGAGGCCAATGGGGAAGCCACCCAAGAAGTTTTGCTGGCCAAAACTGAGGTCGCCCAAGAGGAGCTCAGGAAAATGATGGCGACTGGCCGAAAAGAGACGATGGCCTGCAGAGAAACGACGGAGGCACGTCTGGAAGAGGGGCTGACCTTAGTGGACAAGAAACCTCAGGTGGCACAAAAAGAGGTCCCCGTAGAAGATGCCAAAACAATGTGGGTTAAGAGGACCAATGAAGAGGCATAGGAACCGAAACCATCAAAATCCAAAGGAATGGGTCCAGAACCAGGATGGGTGCCGACAACTGGCCATCGCCTCCAGAGGGATGTCCTGCCATGCGAAAGTGGCATGGCAGATAAAGGAAAACAACAGGAAGATGTCCGGTCATACAAGTATTGCCTGGCACAAGAGAAGCATCGTCAGAAGAAACTGTATCAGGATCAAGGATGATGAAAGAATCCAGAGGCTCAGAAAAAGAGAGTGTGGATTTTCCACAAAGGAAGAAAGGGAATAAAGGAGATACGTGGCAAACGGCTGCTATGTCAGAAGAAAAAGGTGTCAACCAAGACGGCATCGTAGGGTGTAGATCAGGATAGCGATTGCACCTAGGAAGGAGGGGAACTTGAAAGAAGACCTTCTACAAGAGTGTCAGCATGAAGATCGCCGGATCTTCTGCTGTCTTATGAAAGATTGTCGACTGGACTTTGTGGTGGGGATAGCCCCCTCCTAAACGAAAAAAAGAGACTGCAAGCCAAGCAGGAGCTGGTAATGTAGAAGCACCAGCCTCCCCAGCTAGAGTGAGTGAGAGAGGGAAAGTGAGGGATGAATATGATACGACGGAACCAAAGAACACCGGACCATGGAGCTGCCCGGGACAAGCACTCTTGAAGAAGAGGGCGGACCAAAGGAAGGAAACACCATTAGGCTGTTCGGGACAAACAACCTTTAGAAGGGAGCAACGTCACATGCCGGGAATCCGGAAGGCATACTTCCATGGAAATGCAATAACAGTGGGCTGTTGCCTAGGAATACCTTAAGCAACAAATGCGTTTCCCCAGAGATGAAAGGACAACAGAGGGTTTGCTGCATGACAGCAGCCAAGACCAAAGACTCCCACATGGTGTGTTCTATTTAATCCAAGATCAGGTTATAAAAGTCGAGCTTCGACAGTTAGTTGAGTTCTGGAAGTTGCCGAAAACAGTTCAGTTTGGCTTCCACTATAGCAGAAGCAGTAAATAGAACAGTGTCGCAAGAAATGTCTGATGTTATAACTGAATAATTCTACTTGTAAGTGTAAAGCAGATCGGCCAATAAACTTATTCGCTAAATCCGAGACCTGCATGAATTTATTTGTTGCATTACACAGGCAACACGCAACATACCTATATTATCACCCAGTAGATTCACATCATCAGCACAGACCAACAGCTGATGTGTCCCACTTCATTTCAGTTCCACCTGGTTTTCCTGGACCTTCCTAATGGCATATTCTAAAGCAAATTTGAAAAGGAATAGTGACAAAGCATCTCCTTGTTTTAGACCATTCTTGATAGGGAAATCATCAGACAACTGTTTACCTATACGGACTTTACCATGCATTTCATTTAACCCAAACTCTCAGAATATTGTACAATACTTCCATCCTAAATGCAGCATAGGTTTTCTTGAAGTCTATGAATAGCTGATGTACTGCCTCATTGTACTCCCATTTTATTCTCCAATATCTGACGAGTGCAAAAGATCTGATCTGTAGTTGATCTGTTACGTCGAAACCCATACCGATGATCCTCAATAACTTCATCCATATATGGACTTAACCTTGAGAGACGAATATTGGATAACATTTTGTATGAAGCTGATAGCAGTGATATCCTCGGATAATTACTATAGTCAGTTTTATCACCCTTCCTGTGAACTTGAACAATAATAGACTACTTCCACTGATGAGGCAATTTTTCCTTATTCCAAATATAATTAGCTTATGGATCTTAGGATGTAATATTTCGCTACCTTCTTGAATAAGTTATACTGGAATTTCATCATTACCTGGCGATTTATATCTTTTCAAATTGAAAACAGCAATTTCAATCTCAAAAGGGCTAGGATCCGGTACTAATGGCTCAGCTGTATGTATTTCTATCTGCCTAACATCCCTAACCTTATGTATATTCAATAACTGAACATAGTAGTTCTGCCAGCCATTCAAAATGTTGTGGGAATCTGGAAGCAGATCACCATTCTCATCATTCTCTAAGTTACTTCTAGGTCAGTAACTCCTCTTAAAGTCATTTATTCCTCTATATAGGTCTCTAATGTTCTTGTTCTTACTGTTCATTGCAAGCTCATCAATTTCATCTTTCAGATATTCCCTTTTTTTAATCCTGAAAAGCCTGCTGGTTTCACATCTTATATTTTTCAGATTATCCCCATTTTTTTTGCTTGGATCCTGTAACCACTGCAATTTGGTTTGTTTCCTTTGGTCTAATAATTCTGACTATCTTTCATCGAACCATGGCTTATGCTTCTTCAGTTCATAATAACCTAGGCTCTATTTGGCAGAAATTTTTATATTCTCTCTAATAGTTTCCCAAGCTTTAGCAACATTCGCTGCAGTGTCCAAGTTTTCCAAAGCTGCGAACCTATTTGAGATTTCAACACAATATTGCTCTTTAACCTCCACTTCATTTAATTTCTCGAGATTGAACCTCTCCATATGAACTCTGTTTACTCACTGCCAGTCTTTCCCTAACCTTTGCCAGCACCAGGTAGCGGCCAGTATCATAATCTGCTGCCCTGGGTGAGTACATCAAGTACACTTGAATGCCGTCTCCTGTCTATCAAAATATGGTCAATCTGGTTGTGTCTTCCCATTATGAGATGTTCAAGTAAATTCATGGATGTTAAGATGTGGGAATATTGTACTTTGGACTTTAAGAATTTTTGATGTAGCAAAATTTACTACTCTAACTACTGGTCTAAGTGCATGGGGAAGCCCACCCCCTCAATACTGAATATT